CCCTTCTTATATTGCTACCAATAATGGTCCCCATAAAACCCAAGCTATAAATCTCTAATTTGAATAGTTACACCACCAGACTGCACAATTGTTTTCAGCTTCTGTTAGTCTTCTTTCAGAATAACAGAATTCATCTGCAGCCTGCATCCCCTGCCAGTCTGCACTCCATGAGTCACTTTGCTTAGCCACCTTCCACCATCTGCAAAAAAAAAAAACCCACCTGCAAACATATACACACAATTTAAGAGTATAAAGTAATAATGTATTGGTTAATACAGGTAGTTATGACTAGAAAACTACTAGACTAAGCATTAACCTGCTTACCTCCCCCTGCAAGACACCAGATGAGCCTTCGCTGGCCAGTGTCACCAAACTGCCATATTCCAACTCTCTGCTTTTCCCTTCTGGCATTTCATACCTCTTCAGTATTTTTCTCCTGGACCTCGTCTCGACAACCCTACCTCCACCTCTGGTTCTGCCTTACCTTGCCTGGCTCTGCTGTGCAGCCCTTTCTCACAGAGCAGCGATCCCCTGCGCGTGATGAACCAAGGCCACGGGGATGGGCCCTGCCGGGGCCGGGCTGTGGGGTCCGAGCAGCTGAAACTGCAGAGGGAGGTGACTTGCTAGCAGGCGGTGGAGATTGGGTTGATAAGGTCAGCTGGGGCCCTGAGAGCAATGCGATATGCCAGAGGGTAGACATGTTTGGTCAACAGAGCCATATGCTCTGGGCTCTGTTGACTGTTGTGATTAGGGGTTTAGTCCAGTTGCCCCCATGGGTCCCTCGTGTCGTTGAAGGTGCTCTAGGCACTCCACCTGGCCTTCAGCTACTGCTCCATTCAGAATGGCACTAGTATGCCATACTGTACTTTTCTGTCCCATATGGATGTCTGGCATACCTTAGGATACCTCATATGGCATCAGATGCTTATATGTGTGTAATTGAATCAAGCCCTTGATTTCCACTAACCATTGGAGAAACTGGATGTCCCAGATATCTATAGGGCGCTAACAGAGATGACTGATAACTCAATATATCTTGGTTAATGACACAGTAAGCTTTAATCATCCTTACACTGATTGTAAAACACTTTTTGAGGAGCTTTAAATTAAGAGCCTGCTTGTAAATCTTTTATTCCCATTGCTGAGTCAGTAGGAGCTGTATGCAAGCAGCTGTACACAAGCAGGTAAATACAAGTTCACATTAGAGTCATGAGTAACATTCTTGGAATGGATGGGGTGGAAAGACTTCTTGTTGGCAGTCCAGCAGGCATAATTGTGACTGACTTCCCTCTGGCTGCCATGTAGTTGTGAAAACAAATGCTCCCTGCGCAGAAGGAAGCTTATGGGAGTAAGTTAAAGTGAAGGGACATGGGGGACCAACTAACAAAAAGTGACAAAAAGAAAATCTGGGGCCTAAAGCCCTGAAATGAAAAACTGGCTGCATGAGTCAAAGGCTATGCCCAGTATTTTCTCCCTACATAGTGGCACTAATTTTAAATTGGCGTAGGTCACAACTACTCTCGACTATCTAGCGCCCTCTGCAATTTGCATGGTCAAGAATATGCACCAGAGAAAATTTCTGCCAGTATCTGTAGTTGCTAAAGATAGAGTAACTAGATCAGGGAAGTCTAGAGTCACCAACAGCTGTCATTCGGCCAGCAGCTTCAGCTTTGACTTCTGCCTTTTCATGTTTCTTCTGAACCAGGAAACCATCTGAACTATGACTGGCATGACTCTTCCCATTCTTCAGGGGAAAAAAAAAAAAAGGTTAAAAATGTGTACCTTTATTTTTACTTCACATAGTGTGGACTACTGCAAGATGTTCCACAAACTCTTCGCTGATGGTCCAGATTGGGCACTTGCTTGCTTGGGCAGTTACAGCAATCTGTTAACTTCTTCCCTCATTCTCTTTCTTCCATTTCTGAAATAACACTAATTGAAAGTCAGCTGGCAAAGCTTCTCATTTTGTCAGAAGGTTGCCTTAGAACTAAGCTTGAAGAAAAGACTGTAATTGCTTTCCTGAGAAGCACCATGCATCTGTGCCATTGCTACAGGGCATTGGTTACACAATGCCATGCTTGTTTTTATTGGTGAGGAGGAGGTGCACTTGTTGAATCCAGATTTACCACGTCTGAATTCACATAAAGGATTTTAAAAGCTGAGACTGTATTAGTCACCAATAAGCACAATAATGATTCCTCTTCCAAGTGAGTCATATCTGTTCCCACTAGTTTCCTTAATTCCATTATAGTTTAATTCTTCAGCCAACTGTCTGTATTGAAAGGGTAGCATTATAAATGAAGCAAACTGCTCTACATTTTGTGAATTGGTGAAAGCAGGGTGTGAGTGCTTTGTACAAAGAACTTTTGTATTTTCATAAGCTTTTGTGATCTCAAACCTTCTCTAGAAGAGATGATTTGTAGCTGAGTTTATGAGACAGCCTACAAAGCATACAAACTCCACTCTGAATTCACTTTAGATAATCCCTGAACGTATAGTATACACTGTTGAAATGTACTTTACATAGAGAAATAATTAATAGTTCAGTGTCACATTTTCTAGCTTAATTCCCTGAGATCTGCAAGAATATACACTGATGCATCAGGCCCAAGTGCAAAACCTGAACCCCTGTGTCACCCACGTGTCCTGCCTCCAAGAGAAGGGGGAAGTTTCAGGAGTAACTCCCTTTTCAGGAGCTCCTGCTGGAGGCTTCTTGGTGTCCGTCCCCCCCAAACTCTGCATGCTGAACTCTGTGATTCCCATTCCGACCTGCTGAGTTCCCCTCTTGGACCTTTCAAGTCAGTTTATCAAGGGTCTTACTGTTAAAAATACAAGGCTCTACCAACTGAAACGTTTGTAATTCTTCTAAACTGAGGGGAGATGCATTACACATTTGTATCAGATAAAGAGAGCCAGATATATCAGATGCAGCTATATATACATATGAAAATACCAAACTAGGATGCTCTAGAACACAGATGATTTAGCCTAATCCCCCTTTGCAGCTAATGGAGAAATTGAGAAACTTTTAGAGCATGCTTTGTCAGATCTACAGCTAACATCTATTCCTGGCAAGATGAACTCTGCTGTAAAAGCTCCTGGTTCTCTCCTTTAGCTATATAGTGAGCTTCTGTTAATCAGCTTAGAAATGTATATCCATCATCTGCAATTGTCCAGCAGAATTCTGCCCATCCATTAACTCTGATTTGACCTTTCTCTCACAGTAGAAATGGCTGCAATTGAGGAATTACACATTTTATCAAACCTTGTGATTGTCATTCATTTTGTAATATTTTTTGCAATGGAGTGGTCTGTATGCTCCTTTGCTCTGAAGCTAGGTGGCTGTATCAGAGTCTCTGTTTTCATCCAGAAGAAAAAAAAAATCCCAGTATATCACAACTGCAGAAAAGCACATAGAAACATGAGCAAAACCATCTTACTGGAAACTAGAAATTAAAAAAAAAATAGTGATTTTTTTTTGTCAAACTAAAGTCTTAATTCAGTGTAAAACATGTGCTGAAGCCACACAATTTTTAATATTTTGAGTTGTCAAAATTGATGATTCTTGCCATCCACATATCACCAATTTGGTGAAGCTGTACAAAATCTTTCTGCAAGGATTCAGTGTGGTATTAAATAACAAAATCTTTGTTGCAGCAGTGTTCAGGGAAACTTTCAGTTTCTATATGCTTCAGCTGAGCATGTTTATTTTTTCACCAAGTTAGATCATATGACAGGATACACAAGCTACATGAAGTGCTGCCAGTATGTAGGATTTGACTGCAATTTTGCTACTATATTTGGTGTTTGGTTTTAAAACCCCTCAAGTTCTAGCACAAAATGGCTTCTGCATGCAAAAGTCTAAACAAAAGGCAGATGCAAACACAAATCCAAAGGCCATTTTTGACCTGAGGCAGGAAGAGGAGGCTTACTGCTTTGGACAGACAACACTGTGCAAGAGCTCTGCAGCGCCCGCTCCGCGTCTGCCCTCAGCAGCTGCTGACACGCGGGCTGGGAATGAATCCCCAGATTCCTACCTGTACACTATCTCACAGGAATCCGTGGTTTCATCTGGCAGCGTTCACCTCCCGCAGCTCTGACTTTCAACTAATAACAGCTTAAAATGAAAGCGGTCTTGTACTGCTCGCTCTGCGCAATTTCACATGGCGATTACTCTAGCACCCAGCCAGGCCACAGCGTAGCTTACTTAAATGGGAAAAATCTGTATGCCCTATCACTGAACTTGTTACTTACAATTTAAGTCTATTCTGCCTATTTTCAGTAGTGCTTAGCTGTCATGAAGTTACAGGGACTGTGTATTTCTTTTTTTAGCTAAAAGCCCAAGTTTCACATTAACTGCAGGTGCTTCCTCCTTGAACTATATAAAATGACATTGTAAGTGCTGCCAGGGTCAAAGGCCAGAGCCCAGAAGGGAGAGCTGAACTCATTAACTCTTAACTTGATCATAACAACATCACTTCTCAATTCATGCTATTATTCACATTATAACACCATTTTAAAATTACCTTTCATCAAAATAGATCCCAGAACTTTTTAGATGGAAATGCAGATTTCCAAATGCAAAAAACTGCCCTCCCACTTAAGGGAAGGGCAGGATTTAGTCACAGATGGTCCCAGAGCCCTGCTGACAGACAGCAAGATGGCTCTGGCAAACAAGGAAAGATGGGACATACCTGCTAAGAATGACCAAAATAGTTTGTAAACATGACACCCAGTGCCGGCAGCTCACCACCTCGAGCGGTCAGATCAGCCATTGTTAGCCAGAAATGCTGAGATGTCATCAAGAGTTGCTGGCCATTAAATGTACCCTGGGGTGCTTTTAGTGTAAGAGGTAACCCCAAGGCCTGACCCCATCCCTTCTCTTCTGCTATATACATTATTTATGCTTTACATTATTCATAGTGCTTTGTCCTGTAAAAAGGAAGCTCACTTTGCCCCTTTGAAAATTCAGTTACTTGTTAAGGTGGAGTAAAGTTCATTTATTTTTTTGCTGTTACTACAACATCACTGTGCAACAGAACAGGAAAGGGAAGAGTAACGCCTTGTTTTGCAATTCTGATGTTAGGAGGTAAAAAAAATATACCTACTCAACTGCTTTTGCTTACAAATGTTTTCCCTTGCTGTTCAATCAAAGAAGGAAAGAGGAAAAGAGAACTAGGACATCAAAACATTATTTTTTTAAAAAAATATGATTAAGAAGAATACAAAAATAGCATAGATGAAATTAAGGACAATTAATGAGCTAGAGACAAGAGTGTCAAGCTTATCCTGTTGAAGACAAGCACATAAAAGCTCAGGCATGGTTCTTATTTACAGCTTGTAGAATTAAAGGAGATTGCTGAGATTATGACCAGTTTCTGTACTTCGTTAGCTATAAATTCTTAAAAGTGCTATGCCAAGTGTACTATGGCTGTAGCCAGGCGGCAGAGAAACCCAAGTTGTAGATGCAAATATTCCTCTGGCATTGCGGCATGGGGAAGGTGATCTCCCCATCACATCAACCTCTTGCTGGTAATTCCTGCCCAGTCTCTCACGACCCTGAAAAACAACAAAGACGCTGCTAAGTCTTACAGCGTGGTTAGATCTTTTGCGTGGGGTGTCGGTGGGTGCGCAGGGCCCAGGGAGCCCCGTTTCTAAGCCCCCCCCCCGCTTTCCAACAGGTCCAACTGTGCTATGAGGCGTTGGGGCACCTCACCCCACCACCTCTGCCGTCCACGGCAAAAAACGAGACGGGGACGTGGAGGCCGGGGGTGGCGTGGACGACGACGGACATGTTGGCTAGTGCAGCCACCACGGCAGCACCACATCCCGCCCCGCCTGCATCGCGGTCCTGCTGCGAGGCCTGCCCCCCCCCCAGCGCTGCCGGGGACCCGCGGCTGCTCCTCCCGCACCGCCACGGCGAAAGGCGGGCCGCTCGCGAACTTTTAACTTGCGTGGCACGGCCCGGCGCTGCCGAGGGGCAGGCCGCGGGGCCGGGCCCGGGGCGGCAGGTGCCTCCCTCTGCGGTCACGGCGCGGCCGCCGCTGCCACGTCAGGGGAGTTTCCCGGGGCGGGCTGGGCCGGGCCCGGCCTTTCTCCTCCTCCTCCGGCCCCCGCTGCCGGAGACGCTGCGGAGGGAGGGAGGGAGGGAGCTGCCATGGAGGCCCGGTACAACCTGAAGAGCCCGGGTAGGCGGCGCGGCAGGCCCGGCGGGCGCCGGCCTCGCCTGCGGGCCGCGGCCGGGCGAGGGAGCGGCAGGGCCGGGGTGGGGGGGCGGGCGCGGCCGCTCCGTGCAGGCTGCCCAGGCCGCTGCCTTTCACGGCGGGCGGGAGGGTGTTGCCCGCCCCGGGGCTGCCGCAGTTCGCGGAGGGCTCGGAGGCCGCTGCCGGTAATCGGCTCCCGGGGCGCGGCGGGACAGGTGTAGCGGCCAGAGGTGGGAGGGAGGGAGGGAGGGAGGGAGGGAGGGGGGCCCTGCGCCGCGGCGGTGCCCGCGGGTGTGGGTGGCGGCGTTCGGGCGGCGGCCGGCTGGGTCGCCTTTGCTTGCCGGTGCGAGGGCGTTGGAAGCTTCCTCTGAGCTGTAATTCCCCTCAAAACACCCTGGTGCGGGGCTGTGTGTGTGTGTGTGGGGGGGGGGGGGGTGCGCCCACGCTGTTCTGCTGGTTCGTGGAAGCATACCTTTGAACTTTTTGTCAGGTGGCTATGCCCTGTTCCCCTGCCTATCCCCTCCTTTCCAAGTAGGTGTGTGTGAGGGGACAGATGGCCAGCAAGAGCTTGGTCTGTGTGGCGTAAGTTTGTTTTACAGAAGTGTCGCTCTACACACTGTATTTACATGCGTGTGTGTGTGTGTTTGCTTATGGGATTCCGTGTTAAAGTTCATGTCTAGACTTTCTTGTGAATCCTTGAAGTGGGAGGGATGCCTCCAGAGATGCGGGAGATGTCTTGAGGGGGAGGTTTTGCTTCCTAGGAAGGGAAACTGAGGACAGGACAGGTCCCTCCCGTGCGGCTGTGCTGGGCTTCACCTCCTGGGAGCCGCTGGCATACTGGGAGGCCTGTCGCTGCTGAAGCAAAACGTTTTCCACAAGTTGTAGGGGCCAGTTGGGTTTGTGTGTCAGTCACTGTCCTGCCCCTGATTTCCCCAAAAATGTTTTGGGGAAGTAGGTACTGTCAGCTTCCTATTATTATGATGAATAGTGGCTTTATTCTTTAATCATACTGTCTTATTACCAGCATGAGAGATGGGGAGAAATTGAATATTATGATGACTTCTACCTTACAAATGTAAATGACAGGCTTATTTACAAAACATGCTTCACATGGATGATTTATGTATTGCTAAATTCTGTCCCTTGCACTCACACCCAAGTTGCATAACTGAAAGAGAAGAAGGATCACAAAGCAAGTGATGTACTTGTTACAGTTTAACACATCAGGAAGGAAGATTTTTGTTTGGTTTTGGTTTTTTTTTTGTTTGCTTGTTTTTGTTTTAGGAAGATGTGCTGGATATGACACATGTGTGAATTTACAAGGCCACACAAACATGCTCACTAGTTATGGTTTGCCACGTCATTGGAAATAGTGGTGGTGTGCTGCATGACGTGCTTCTGGGATCTGGGTGGAGAGGGCAATTATTTGTGGTTTAGTTTAGAAATGTTCTTCCCCTCTGTTGTTACCAGTCCCCCTTGTTTTCAAGAGAAAATTACCTTTACTGGAACTGATTTTCAGCATCTGCGCTGTTCCATAGCAAAATGAACCTCACTTGGCAAAGATGAGTGATTCATATAATGGGTCAATATTGCTTCCCCAAATTAAACATGCTCTATAGCATAGTAACATATTGAATTATTTCTTTCCATATGGATGCTGAAAGTCTAAAAATTATTTAAATCACTTTAACAATCTCTATAGTATGATTTAAAACACTCATTTTAATAGTATGCATGAAATCTTTCATTAAAAAAAGATGGGCAAAACGGTATTGAATAAATAACAAAAAAGACTTAAAATAAATATTATTTCTTCAACAGTTGTTGCCTGTTAAAATGGGTTGACTGTAGTTATATATAGCCATTGCTTTTAGTCTAGCACTTTTCTTGCTAACCAGGTAGGTAAGCATATGCGATTATGTAATATTTTTGTGTAAGTTTTACAAATTCTTATCTTGTTACAGTTACAGGTGCAGTTTGATGATGGTATCTTACACTTGCCATTCAACTGAAGGGTTAAGATGGAAATGTAGGGTGTTCTAATATTAAGGTGGCTTTAATTATTGTAAATGCACTGAAATACATAAAGACAAATCCACCGTGTTTCCTGTTTCAGATGGTTGTGTCATCTGTGGACTGGAGGGGTTATTTTGGTAATTAAGCCCTCTAAGGCTTTAGAACAAGTAGCTGTCCTTGTGCCTGTTGTTCTTGTTGCTCAGACTTGAATAGAGGAAGAACCAAGCTGCTAACCTTTAGGTCCCGGTCAGCTTTAGGGATGTGGAATGTGCTATCGTGAGACAGAGTGAAAAAATAGTTTTGTACCTGCACAAGAGGCTTCTCCTGTTAAAATCTGGTTTCGAACTTAAACAAACTCTGGTTTCAGGTGGTGACTTCTATCTGCTCAATAGTTTTAAAGGGAGCAAATACTGCTTACAGTTTTAATATAAGTTATTGTAACAATTATAGTAGGCTTTTTGTTAAAAGAAACCTGTGCTTTTATTGATCTTTCTTTTAAGACAAATGCTGCTGTAGAGCTATGACAGGAGCTGAAGTTCTTCTATGGTTGTACATGGCTACATGGATCTCTCTTCTGTGAGTAGGTGTGCTAGACCAGGTTGATGAACAAGGATCAGTTAGACTCTAATGCCTTTCTTTTCGTGTGCTTTCAAATAGACCACATAAAGAGCTGCTACACAGCTTTGTCCTGCTGCTAATTGCTGCTAGTCAATATATTCATCTTCTTCCTTATCCCAGTTTCTCCAGCTATTGTTAGTTCATCCCAGTGTACCTAAAAGATGGTAACTCTCCACAACACAAAACAAGTTGTTCCCTTGCACGCTGTGTCTCTGCTGATGAGCAGCCACGCAGCTGGTGCTCTGGCAGGTCTTGCTTTACCATGGGTACACGTCGTGGCCACCGCAGGTCTGGCCTTGGTGAGGGTGGTGTGCTAAGCTACTGCTGGCTCCTGTCAGTTACCCTCTGTAAGGGCAAGGAGATACAGGGACATTCACCTGAAACTGTCTCCTCACACCACCTATGAACATTTCTTCTTTTTTTTTTTTTTTCTCCCCCAAAAGACCATTAGTTTTGGAAGGAAAGAAATTTCACACTCCACACTTCAGGTTTCTTTGTATTGCTTCAATAAGGCAAAGCCTTTTAAGCTGTTGCTTCATATTTTTATGTCTATTTTTGGTACTTGTAAAAGGGCAAGCTATTTTCTATCTTAGGATTTCAAAATGGATTAGTCAATGTATATCAGCCTGCTACCATATGGTTGATAAACCTCTCCCATCAATATTAAAGCTCAGCTGACTAAAGCACAGACTTCATCCTCTTCATGCTTCAAGAACATCCCTATTTTCTGAAATTTGTAAGACAGCTACTTGGAATAATCTCTTTACTTTTTTTTCCAAGAGCTGTGACCCTTAGCCTGCTGCAAGCTCAGACACCAAATCTTGTAGTCACTGTTTCTGTAGTGACAAACTCCCTCTATGTAGGATGTTACCAGTCTTCTGAGCGGGTATTAGCACAGACACACTTGAAGAATTATGAACAGCTACTTACAGTGACTCACATGGATCCCACAAACAACAGTGCTTTTTAACTTTGTTTTGGGCAGGGGTTTTTGTTTGTTTTCAGCAGACCTCCTCATCTAGAATTTGATTAATGAGGGCACTGGAGGACTGGGGAGAGCATGTGGAGGGAGACATGGTGTACATGTCTTGCATTTGCTGCCCAGGGATGGTGCTTTTGAATCTTGGACACACAGGGAACATAATGTGCCGAGATTATCATCCTCTTAGCTGTCATTTTCAGTACATTTACTGTTTTTTTGACAAACTGTACTTCTTTCTCCATTCCATGTTTTTTAAAAGAGTGTTCCTTGTCAATAAGCCTGTATCAGTTCTTTGTTAGTAAAAAAACAATTAATAGAACCTAGCCAGTAGGCACTGTGGTGCTTAGTACCTTCCGTGTATGAAAGAAAGGTAGAGTTTTTTAAAAATAAGAAGTTGAACGGATGTCAAAAATTTATTTAAACTGAAGACAGTGTTTGATCTTAGTGTGTTCAACAAGCACCTTATGTTTGTTAAATTTTATCTCCCTTTGTGTTGACTGCACAGTTGTTTTGGTTTGTAACTACAGAAAGAATACTGTACTTCCTGCTGCTCTGAGGGAAGTGAGGACTAGAGGTCTTTAATTTCTGAGGGTGAGAGAAAAGAGAGGACAGACTAATTAAAAGTATGCTTTTTTTTTCACCATTGTCAGTGCTTTATATGAGTATGGGAGGAGGCTTGTGGGTCTTAGGAAAGGATGTATCTGACACCCTGAAGGTGGAAAGCAGCTGGCCTGGCTCTGAGCAAATGGTGTTTCTGTTTGTTTTGTAGCAGAAGCCAAAGGAACTGTCAGATGAAATTTTAAAAGTGATTTTGGAACCTGTGGCTGCCCCAGAGAGTTGTTATAGTTCTGCAATTGAGCATTTTTGTTTTGTAAGAACAATTGTTTTGTCTCAGTACGTGAGATCAGCATAAAATGGGAACTTGACTAATGGAGAACATGACAGAAGCAGTCAATGGTGAGCGACTTCATTGTCTCCATTTGCTTTTATTTAGACAGAGAAGTGTTATTTCTCTAGTATGGAGAAATAGTGTTCTGCCAGTCATGATGTTTATAATAATGTTGAAACTATAGTAGATTTCAGTAGAGGTGACTTTAAAATGGTGATGCTCTTCACCTGAGACTGAAGTTTTAACTCTTCCTCATTTTGCCTATTCCTTTAGGACTGGAGGATATAGGTTTGATGAGGTGGTTGCTGGTGGTATGGGAAGGATTGTTAGTGTTATGGGTTGCTTCCACTGCTGGCTTGTTCCAGAAGACTGAAGAATCTGGAATTTTTGCATGGTCTATTGCAAGTGTGCCTGTTTCTACATACTTCTGTTGCTGAGTTCTCAGAGCAAAGATTTGTGTAGTTCACTGTCCCATCATGG